GGAAGGGAGGGGGGAAGGGAGAGAGAGAGAGAGAGAAACATGGATGTAAGAGAGACATATAGATTGGTTGCCTCCCACATGCGCCCCCACCGGGGCCAGGGAATTGAACGTGCAACCCAGGTGTGTGCCCTTGACCGGGAATCAAACCTGCAAGCCTTTGGTGTGCTGGCCGATGCTCTAACCACTCAGTCACACCAGTCAGGGCAAGACTGAAGTAATTTTTAAATCATTTTAAAATTATCTCTTAGAGAAAACTAAAACATAAGCGGTAAGGGATTTATTTAAAAATTCATGGAATATGGGCATTAAGATGGGATTAAATATTAATCTGCACTTCCTAGGCTCCTGCATTACTTCTCCCAGTTAGTTACTCTGTTTATTTGCTTGAAATCAGGGAGGATCTGGTTACAGTAGATAACAGAAGTAGTAGTAGGAAAGAAACAATGGAAGTGGTGTCATTTAGCAACAATAGGTGCCATAAGATAAGCTGCCCAGGAAAATATGTAAACTTATATAAGATATAGGTACAAGTCTCCTACTTTCCAGGTGAAGTAACTGTGGCTGGGAGGGCTCAGGGGGCCAATGGGGGAGCTAAGATGGCACCCTATAGCCACCTGTTCTCCCTCCCACCAGGACCTCTGTCACTCAGACACCAGCAATCCTTCTGAGGGTGGATATTAATTGTGTAATGAGTTACAAAGGTTCGACAAAGTCCATAATAAAAAAATATAAGTAGTTTCTATAATAATTTTATTAAACTACCCAATCTCTCACCCTTGGGTAATCTTTTGGGGTTAATAAAAACTCACCAAATCTGTATTTCAAAATAATATGATCTATGAATTTTAAAACTCTAAGTTTGTAAACTTAAAAGAGGATAGGAAAAATCCCAAAGAGACTCAGTGACATAAATAAATAATCGAAATAACAGTTGAATCAAAACTTAGAAATGTCCTATAAATCAGAGGAGGCAAGAAAGGATTGAGTCACAAGCACTAAACAGACAAACTGAGCTTTAGTAAAATACAGCATAACCAACAACTCAAAATCCTTTTAGAAACGGCTTCAGAAGTTCTAAATAGCCCAATTCTGTCTCACATCCCCATCACCATTAAGCCACCAGAAGTTCTGGGCTTTGAGAGAAATGTTATCCTATTTGTTGGGTCAAAATACCCTGACATTCTCTAGGTAATGAGAAGGAACGTGAAGGGTTATATATTTTATGAAACTAGAGTGCTCACTGTGTCCCAAGCCCTGCTTAATCATTTATTTAATCTTCATAACAACCCTATGAAATAGGTAAAATGGTTGTTCCCATTTTACAGATAAGAAGACAGATGCACAGAGATGTTATATGTGTGCAGAACGTCACACAGCAAGCAGTGGCAATATGGATCCAGTGTATATACGTTTAACCCATGATACTATGCTGAACCAGTTGTCTATTCCAATTATGCCAATTGCTAAAGAGCACAAATATGTAAAAGCTAGTGATGAGCAATTAAAGATAAAGGCAGCATCTGAATTTAATCCTATAGAGATAAGTTAGTGAAGAGGTAAAAAAGTAAAAATGGCATAGCACAGTGCCTGGTACATAGTAAGTGTTCATTTAATGTTAACTACTATTATTGTTGCTGTTGTTATTGGATTCTAAATAAATTTACCTTAGTCTTGAATTCAAAACTTTAGCTGTGTGATCTAAAGTAACAATTCCACCAACTGTGCTGCTAAAACACTTTACAAAGTGCTTCAGCAATTGAAAATCAACTGTTCTTCCCTCTGCAGCTCAACTATGACAAATACCTTCAAACTGTCATCTTGAAACCCCAGTGCTCATGCCATGAGCCAGGTATCTTCCTGAAGTTGTTCCATATTTTTCAAAACTTTTGCATTGAATTTATATTTCTTTTGTAATCAAGGAAAAAACTTTGAATTAGCTCTATCCATAATTCATATCATCAAAAGAAGAAAACATACAAAGCTACAAGGCAAGTACATTTTTTAAAAGGTTTCTCACAGAGATTTGCATAAAAGGGGACTGATTAATGTACTAGTCAAGTTTTTCAATGTATTTATAGGAAATGCAACAGCCAAATTCACACAGCTTTCTCACCACCATCTCAGAGCATTATGCTTAAATCCTGGATAAAGTAAAGCAATTTGGAGAGCAAGACAGACTTCCAGTCTATCACCTTCAAGTGGGTCCAACTATAGAAAAAGAAATTCTCACAACCTAGAGGAATGGAGATGCTGTTGTGAGCCTTCCTGATACATAACTTCTCGGGCAATGTAAGGTGTCCTTGTTATATTCTGCTCATTTAGGAGAGACCAACACTGTAGAAATCTGACTGTCAAGGAGAGTCACATGGTACAGCAATTAACTCTAGGACCTAACCTCAGAGTAGGATGTGGTTTCTCTAGGGGCTTTATGAGATCAATGTCTGAGGACAAGAGAATGACATCTGGTCAGAGCAGCCACAAAAGGAAATTCCATCATAGAAGGACAGGAAATATGTGGCCAAGGTTTCTCTTACACCGTTTCAAAGAACAAGGTACATGCTAGACCTCTGGATTCAAATCCACAGACATCTACTGAGCTCCTATTACCTAGCAACCTCAAGTTCTTTCACACATTAACTTGTTTAACTCTTACAATAACAAACACACCTATGAACATGTATTAAGGGTATAGAGCTTTACTGTTAAAACAGATGGAGTAAACTTCAGAAGTAGGATGGAATGAAAGCTTCTGTGTACGGGTTTCAGTTCTCAGGTTTTAATATGCAAACAAATTATTATACAGATTAGGTACACAAAACCATAAAAACATTTAGAGGATTTTCTAAGGGCAATTTCTTACTATAAGGAAGGCAAACTTTAGACTCTAAAGCCCCTATCTTCCCCTTCCCACTGTACAATGAAGTTCCATCACACTCTGAAAAGCAAGAAGTTGAAGGACCCTCTCACCCAAAGGACTCCTATACATGCCTCAAGACCCAGCTTAAATAGCACCTTCTCTATGAAACTGCCTTGATCCTCCTAGCCAGAATTTATTAGCTCCTCGTCTGTTAAACTTTTATTTACCTCTATTTTGGAGCTTCCCACAGTCTACCTTTTATTAAGTTTAAGTTTGTACATGTCATACTTTGGTGAGACTGTAAATTCATAAAGTCAGGGGCTATATTTTCACCACCTTTGAGTCTCCAGGGTCTTGGGTACTGCAAGCACTCAAAACATATTTCTGAACTTAATGCTCATGTCAGTTTTATGTCACTGGTTATTGTTAGCCCTGAAGTGAAACTTAGCAGTTGTCAAAATATGCAAACATTTTCATTTGTTAATGGCCCAAATTAAGGCAGAAGCATTCAACTGCTCATAAACTGAAACCCAACGGACCATTTACTAATAATGAAAACATTTCTTTCTCCCAGCTACAAAATATTATACTGAATAACTTGCTAGTCACTTTTTGAGTCAAAGATATACTTGGAAACAGTACACCTGAACCTTTAAGAAGTACAAATAAACTTATTTTTAGCAATGAATTATACAAAATTTGAAACTGCATTTTGCTGTAG